GAGCGAGAGAGTGAGCTACTGGGACTTGGATATCTGGCTGAACGAAACTTACGAGAACCCGACTCAACTTGCATTCATTCCTTTATTGTGAAGCAATGTTTTTGAATCGTCGGATCGTTCAGCTTAAAAATCATTCAAACAATCGAGTAAATAACATAATGTTATATTATTTTTCATCTAAATAAGATAATGACTATTTTAACAAAAATGTTTGTTATAAAAGAGATATTTTTGTCCCATTCAAGCGTTAATAATTTTTCTTCTAAACGGGAAAGTTATTTATTCACCTAGGAAATGAGTATCATTTACCCGAGATTCTTAATCTCCACATAAATGCGAAAAAAAACATTGAATTCTTGGTCATTAAAACCAAAATCTCATTGACCAATTTACCCGATATAGAACTCAAAATGACATTTAAATTCAACTTTTTCAATATTAGGACAGATTCCCACGCCAACTCAGAGCGCTACACCTCCTCGTTCATTTCCTCACCTGCCTAGATGTAATTGCCTCTGTTTCTATTGTTTCCCTTACCTGCTTCAATGGTACGGGAGGAGGCAGAGATCTTTGTCTCAATGCCCTTTTAGATGAATAAAAGGGAAGAATGACTGGTCAACCCATCTTAGAATTCTTATTCCCATTGTACAGGTGGGATGAATCCTGCACCTAGATTGATGTTTAATTCACAAGCATAATAATGTTTATATAGGGGGGGTGGGGTTGTAATTTTAGAATTCAGCAATGGGTTGCAATGAATTGATATGAAAGGGAAGGGTCACACACCATTATTATTTGTACTTTAAATTGAATAAGAAAGTGTTTCGATACCATTAATTTATGACAAGACTCTTACATGTAGGGCCATCGGCCAGGACTGTTGCTCTTGTCCGTATTAATTTTCTTTTTTGGGATAACTACACTGCACTCCACCTCATAATTTTAAATACCTCCCCTATAACACTAATATCTACCCGTGCATTGGTATCAATTTCGAGTTGGTACCTACCCCAATTGTACGATGAAACTAATATTTGTTGTGATGGATTGAACAATAGAAGCCCCTTAAGACTGAAATCAACATGGACCAGTTCCATAGGACCACCCCCTCCTTAATCGGAACTCATATCTGCACCCCACAAATGCCCCACCATAAATGTCCTACAATATATCCCAATCGTGTATTGGAAATATCTCCCATTGACAACATTTGGAGATGTTTTCAATGTACGTTGAGATGTGCATGTGGGGTGCCCCGTGTAGGGCGTAGATGTAATTTCCCCTAATCCCCTTTATCTTGTGGGTGAAGTCACTGGGATGTAGTTTTTTGGGTCTGTTAATAGCAGGGGTGTCCACAATTCGATTAATCGAACCATGGGCATATTTTGCAAACTGAACTAGTGGTACTGGTTTTTCAATTTCTCCAAACCAAAACTGAACCGGTACCATCGGTTAACCGGTCCACCGTTTTGGTTTTTGACCAGTTCGGTTCTTTGATTTTTTTGGTTTATATTTATAATATATATTATATAAATATATGTATAATATTATATTATAAATAACAAATGATATATAATATATTATAAATATTTTAAAAACATATAATATATTTATAAATAGATTATTATAAATATAATATAAGTATATATTTATATATAATGAATATATATAATATATAGAAGATATGTGACATATATTAAAAATATATATAAAATATACATATAAATATATATATACCGGTTAGTTTAGTTAACCATCGGTTTTTTGTAGGTTAACCGAAAACCGAACCGGTCCTTCGATTTTTCAAAAATTCCAAACCGAAATCGAATCAATCGGTTCAGTTAACCACATTTTACGGTTCGGTTTTCTCAGTTTTTCATGGACACCCCTAGTTAGCAGGCTTTAAATATGGATTTGTTTTTTCGTATTGGATGGAAATATGGATCCACTCATCCACCCATAAAATTTGATTTGATTTGATTTAAATATATTATTTACACCTACATACCTAAAATTTATCTATCAATAAATAGTTAAAAGTAACTTCCAATTCATTTTATTTATAAATTAAATATAATATTAAAGTAATTTTTAGTTTATTTTATTAATAATGTATAATATTTTGATCATTTCTAATTTATTTTATTTATAATGTTCAATATTTGATTATTAGAATCCAAGTTCTATTTTGCTGAAAAATATCCAATTCTAATTTGACTCTAAATAAATCAAAATTGGATATTTCCAATCTTATCTGTGAGACTAGAAAAGCGTCAACCTTTTGAGATGCATCATTGCAACTAGGATGGAAATGGGGCGGGTTTGAAGAGGGTATTGTAAATTCTAGATCTTATTTGTCCCCATAAATCTCCTATCCAGTACCTGCCCCAAAAGGCCAAAACCGATTTTGAGAATCCAAACCCTCCCAGCATCAAAATGCAAAACCCTCCCTACATTCAAAGATATGCAAGTTGGGTTTAATTCACATATATAATATTCTATTATTTCTTGTTATATATTTATAATAAATAAGTAAAACCAACAAAATTTTCAATTATTTACTTAAAACATATAAAAACACTATAAACTACCAATCATATACCTTTTTATAAAATTTAAAATATTATTAAATTTTACACCTAATACATAAATTTCATATATATATTTTTAAACAATATGCACGACGAGGATTGAATTTAACCTAATTCTATATTTATAAGAATTGTAGAATCCCAAGGTCCATCTCTATTTTAAAATTTGTCCTTTAATCAAGAAAACCTGTCCTGTCAGGGTGGATACCCGCGGGATAGGGTAGATATTGCCATCCCTAGATGCAACTTCAGAGAATGGCTTCTTAATATTTTACAACTTTGGGATGCTTCCTGCTTTCTACCTACACACGTTTCAAGCTTAGTGGTAATGGACTAATGGCGAATGAATAGGTCGAATGTAATGTATGATCTTCAAAGTCCAATTGGTCGGCTTATTCCATTTACATGCATGCACTGTACATCCAAATATGTATATATGAAATTACTAGTAGGGCCCATATAACGTACGAGCTTTGTTAAACAAAACCAAAGTTGAAGAATTCTTAGTCAAATTGCTTCCAATCAGAACATTATTATTTTTTATTATTATTGTTAAATAAATTTGTAGTCATTTTTCTTTTAATGTTTATTAATTTTTATTGAGATGAGATAAATTGTTGTTAATTGATTAAATTATTGTCATGTCATTTTCCACATAAATTAAAAGGTAATAATAACTGATTATTATCGTGTAAAATTTATATTTTAACTATTCAAAACAATAATTAATAGATCGATCGGATCCAATGGAACGGGATTTGCATCTTGTAATATGGCCCGGCCCCTTATAAATCGCACCATTTTGGATGGGAAGATCTGAACCTACCACTCAACTGGTCCCACCATAGAGATAAAAGAATAATATGGGGGAATTATATCATCTCTCCAGTATAACTTATGATAGATGGAGAGCCTTTTTCTATTAAAATTCATTGAGAGCTCTGAAAATAAAATATAGATATGTCGTAGAAAATCAGAGAATGGAAATGGAGAGAATCGGGATTTGTTCCTGTGTCTCACACCGACTCTCAGCCCTGATCCAACCATGTATTTAGAACATCTGTAGATAACAATATAAAGTATGAGAGATATTTTCTATGTGCAGCTAGTAGGGCTGTTCACAGGTCGGGTTGGGTTGGTTTATTGATGGTTTTCCAACCGATTCGATTTGATCGGGTTACTTGAAATTAAAACCGAAATCGATCTTGTGTTAAGCAAAACCGATTTGATCAGTTTGAGTCGGCTTGAGTCGGTTTCGTCTCTACTTAGTGATGACTTAGTTGTTGTAAAGTTAGGTTGTAACTAGGATAGAGACAACTTAGTTAAGTAGGAATTAAGTAGGTTGTAACTATTAACTAAGATTGCAACTTGGGCTGAAGAAAATCATCGGTTTATGATTTTTTATAACCCGAAATCGACCAGTGCAGAAGAAAACCCGACCGATTCGGGTTGGGTTGGTCCGGGTTGGTCGGTTTGATCGGGTTGGGTCTTCTTATGAACAGCCCTACAAGGCATTGTGAAGAGCGCCCCTGTCAGTAATAGACGATTCAAATCGAGAATATCTAAGGTTGCATCTTGGGCCGGGTTGGCCTGAACTCAATCCTAACCCAACCTAAAAAAATTGGATTGGGTTGGGTTGGGTTGGGTTGATGTTTGGGTTAGGATTAGGGTTGAAATTCATGAACTCGATTTTACTTCGGATTGATCCCTTAGCCAATCTGATCCAACCCGAATCCGACTCTATAGTACATGTCATAAATAAATATATGTTATATGTAATATATAACATACATTGATTTGTTTAGATTCATGACATTTGTATAACCCCCACCACATAGTATCATGTATTTCTTTTAAGATAATCACTTCACTTAATCCTAATCAGAAAAACTAAAACCTTAATAATATTTTTTTGAAAGTTTTATTCTTTCATCTCTTCTATGTTGTTTTCCGCCCAAGAAAGATCTATTGTAAGCCATAATTCATAATAAACTATAGTTATTTCTAACACTTGTTTTTTTGAATTGTGTACAAAAAAAAAGCATCAACAAAGAAATACTAATGAAAGGTTTCAAGGGATTGGGAAGAAGGTTGGGTTGGGCACAACCCAACCCGAAATTGACTTTCGGTTGGGTTAAGATTGAAGGAATTTAGTTAGGGTTAGGGTTGGATTGGTCGGATTAGATTAAGGTTAGGGTTGGGGTTTAGAACTTAAGGTTGGGCTAGGTTGGCCTGACCCGGCCCGACTTGCAGCCCTGAATATCTTGTTGAAAATTGGAAGGCTCCTGTTTACATAAAAATGAGAACTATTCTGATTCAACTTTTTTATCCAGCCAAGGCAAGCATCAGTTGTATATAAAGATAAAAGATATGGAGAAAAAAAAATTCCATGATGGCAAGTATAGTTGCGGCATATGTATACCGTATACGGATCAAATACCCTCGTCAGAAGAGATTCTTTAAACTAAAAGCTCGATCCGCCGTGGGCTAAACAAAAAATAGTCTCTCTCTTCTTCTGATCTTTTCTATTAAAGTCTGTACCATTGAATTTATTAATGAATTCTGTTCCTTCATCTACTTTCTTAAATGATTCATTCGTCTGCTCCAGCCTCTCCTATTTGCGTTTCTTCTGCTCCTTAGTTTCTCTTTAATTTGCAAGTTTTTCTCAACGGTTGCATCTTTCTTCTTGAGGATCTCAGGGCCGGAATCACACACAGAGGCAGAAATGAGTCAAACCCAATCTTCTTCATCTCAACAGTTGTGAGTTTTTTTTTTTTTTGGTTATCCTTTCTCATTTTGATTTTCGTAAAATAATGCTTTTTATCATTTTGCTTTTGTATTTTCTTTCCTTTGAAAAGAAGATACAAAAAAAGAGGCAGAACAGAGCCATGAATAGTAGTGATCGAGTAGCATTGTTACAGAGGGTTGTTGATTTTTCTTTCCTTTTTCTTTGCAGCTTTAGCTGTGGCCAGCAAATATCAGCTTTTGTGGTGGCCTCCGATCTCCTTAGTCGTCTGTGGGAATCCATTTCCACTTCCACAATACAGAGAACCGATCCGAGCAAAGAATTGACATTTCAGAAGCAGGAATTACCCGGTTTCACAATCATAGCTTTAGTTACTTCACCATCATGCGCCAAACACCAGCATCAGTTCCTATCACCACAACTTCAAAGGAACGACAAGCGTTTTAAGTTTCTTTGTACCAAGGACAACCCATCTTTCCATATTAATGAAGTTGTTCTCACCCTCTTCGAGTCTCTATACGATGAGCTCTCCTCTCTGCTGATAGAGGTATGTACACCACTCTTTCCCTTTTGCTCTTCTTTCCTCCTCCAATCTTGCAAAGAATCTTTTGCAACTTTTCAACGAGGCTGCATTCGGCTTCTTTTTTGAAGAATTAAGAATACTTTTAAATTTGATTTTATAAAAATTGTCAGAACTAATTCTTTTGGGCTCCAAATTTTATTCTGAGAACTGTCTCTGAAGGTAAAAAATCCAGCTCAAAACAGTAAACTTTTTTTACTTTAAACTCATGATTTTTGGAACCAAACATAGTGTTGATGATTGACAGCTGAAGTGCTAGAACTGAATGGCATGTTTTACTTGTCTTTTGCTGGTGTTTGATTAATCAAGTTCCTTAGTGAAATTTAATTTAATTACCTACTTTTATTATTTATTTATATTAAAGCTATTTTATTGACAAGAGACCATACATACTCTTTTTAGGTCTCTATCGATAGTCTATTAATATGAGTAGAAAAATTACTTCTGTAACGAACCAAACGCCCTTTTAAGCTCTGTTTGTTTACGATGCTTTTTCTTTTTCTTTTTTGGTGCGAATTTCATTTGCACCGGCATTGATCTGATGGGCTGGAGTCAACCCTAACCTAATCGAGAATTAGAGATGCGATCGAGCCCCCTCGCAGTGGCGGGCTGAATTCATTTGATTTGAGTTATTGCAGTCGGCCGCTAAAGCTCCGCTGATTCTCACCGGTCATTACCTAGGAGGGGCAGTTGCTTCTCTCTACACCTTATGGCTGTTACAGAACATCCCTGCAAAAGCTAAGCTTCCCCTCTGCATCTCTTTTGGCTCTCCACTGATCGGCGACGATGTCCTCGTGGCAACCCTTCGTCAGTCAACATGGAATTCTCGTTTCCTACATGTAGTTTCCAACGACGATCCCATACCTCGCCTGTTCGTCTTACCGGGAAGTCCCGTCGTCGCAGCCGATGATACCATGATGGAAACCAATTTTGAGGAACCCAGTTCCATTTACAAACCCTTCGGTACGTTTCTCATGTGTTCTCGATCGGGGCATGCTTGCTTCAACCACCCTGAGACAATTCTGGAATTGCTGCGAGTGACTTGGTCATCATCATCAGGAGGCAGAAACCCAGGGCACTGGGGTTATAATGAGGACTACGGGATGATTATCCAACAACTCAAACATAGTTTGGCGTATAGCGCGCCAGTCGTTCAATTTTCGGAATCTCCACAACGGACCAGCATTCTTTTACAGCTTCAAGTACTCGGGGTAAGCTTGATTAATTATAGGTAAACTCATCCATACTTTCATACCTTCATGCACTTAATTAAGTCGTCCTATCCCTCAGAAGTCAGAAAGAAGAAACTGAATACAACCCACAAGAGAAATTTCAAATTTCCCATGTTTGATTTGAGACTAGGATTTCCCTCTAAAATCTAAATGCCTCCATCATAATCACCATTAACATACATTCAGCTCAGCTGGGACCAAACAATTACGACTATTTAAGTATATATTTAATGCCTTCTGAGCTTGTACCTGCAGTACTGATTCTTTATCCCACATTACTTGAAATTATTCATGGAAGCTGCAGCTGCTGAATAATGACAACAGCAACGTTTGGTTAACTAGCTTAGAGGAACGGGAAAAGACAGATTTCTTGCTCAAGGAGAAACGCACCTCCGATGACAAGAAACTGAATGACATGAAAATCAATATGGCCAACCTTGAATGGTACAAGAAGTTGTCCAAGGGTAAAGGGGGATACTACGACTGCTACAAGAATAAGCATGAGATGCGGGACATTCATGTCGAAAAGTTCAAGAAGGAGCTTACAAATTACTGGAAAGAGAAGGTTGAAGAAGCAGAAAAGAAGCCCCAGAAGGAAGGAGCCCAACTTCGGACTCGCTGGCTGTATGGAGGAACAAATTACAGAAGAATGGTTGAACCTCTTGACATTGCTGCCTACTACAGAAGGAAGGAGCCCAACTGCAGTACGCCCGGTGAGAAGGACTACTGTTCTAAAGGTAGGTCTTCCCATTACCGATTGCTGGAAAAGTGGCAGGCAGAGGAGGCAAAACAAGCATCAGGAGAGAAGAAGAAAGTTACTGCGGCTAGTCTGACAGAGGATTCCTGTTTCTGGGCACGTGTTGAGGACGCTAGGACGTTGTTGGAGAATAATGGAGGAACGGAATCAGTCACAGATGAATCAATGATAGAGAAGATGGAGGAGTTTGAGAATTATGTAATGGATTTGATAGAAAAGCTTGCAGTCTCTCCAGAGATTTTCTTGGAAGGGAGCACCTTCATGCAATGGTGGAACCAATACGAGCAAATCTTAGAGTGTGATCGTAGTTCTCCACTTATTGACTATATGAGGGTACATAGATACAGGAATTATGGCTAAGTTCAAGATTAGGAACTCGATCGACATAGATGGATAGATATGAACCTCTATCAGCTTGATCGGGTTTTGACGTTTTGGTCGATCGGGTTTAAGGTTGGGTACATTACATGATATATGGGTTTAATTTCCTTTCCATTATTGTTCTAGTTGTAGTGACTTGTGACGTTGCTGGTTTACTTTTAAAAAGACCTAGAGCTTTGGTGGTTTTATATTTTGTTTTTTGGTATAATTTTTGTGATGTTAAACGGAAAAGTACGGACTGATTCATTTCAGATTTTTGAATTGACATCAATTCTGAACTGACACCATTTTTTATTTTATGGTAATCAGATGGAGCATAATTTTCTTTTCTGTATAATTAATAGAAAAGGAGCGCACATCTCTCTGGGATTGGAATTTGGATGCGACTGGGACCTGTGAAAAGATTCCGTGCCGAGTGAATTTTGTTCTATCATTACTAAACTAAAGTCATAGCTCATAGGTTCACACAAACACAATCAACACCACTAAACTAAAGTGAATGATTCTGGCTGGAAGTTTCAACTTTCAACTTTCAACGCGAACAATACGCGATGCGTGCGTAAGAGGAAAACCTTGGCTAATCACTGATGGCCACAGATGTCGTTTCTCATTCTTCTCTCTTCTCAATTTCTTAAAAAAAAGCACGGCACCCAACCGCTGGTAGCTCGTCAAAAGCAAAGAAAAAGAAATTGTTGGTTATTATCCCCCACAACGTCCCATCGGTAATCCCAAAAATGACGATTCATCATCACGAGATGTTTCCGATACAGGGTTCATGCCAAAAAATTAAAAATAACACTTGAGAGTCCCTATTCAGTTCAATATTAACAAATTGGTTCTTTTTTCATAAAAAATTAAAGGAAATCATTTATTAAATATACGATAAATACTTATTTATACTCTGTGATTTTTAAAATTACTAAAATATACCCTGTAAAACATTCTACCCTTAAATTTGACGAAATGTATTAAATGACAAAAATACCCTTGATTATGTTTTTTTTTTTAATTTTCAAAACATGTGAAAGATTCTGCGCGGTGTGTTGATAAACAGAGGTCCCTCCCGTATATATGCATAGTTGGTGTTGAGAGGTTAGCATATTCTTGGTGTAAGAATTGAGACTGCATTTCAAAGACCGAAATGAGCCCGCGTTACATTCAATCAAAATAACGAGGGATTGATTCAATTGCTAAGGCCCTCTCAATAATTGAAATTATTAAATTTAAAGTTTGTCACGCATGAGAACTAGCAATGTGGGACCGGATAAAAAGGTGGTTTTCATGAGGTTGGGTGTATTTTATGTGAGAGGTGTCAAAAAATTTTCGTAAGTGCTAATTTAATGTGCTTACAACGATGTTCCCATCCAATACGGACTGCCCAAATGCTACGCTGCCTTCAATGATATGAATTGTTGATACATGGCTTATGGCTAAGAAGTTGTATAGGTTTCAGAGATATGGCAAAATTTCTCATACCTGTGGGGTACCTGACCTCCCGGATTCCATGGGGTTGGGGATGGGGATTGATTTGGTGGGGTAATGATAGGGATGGAGATTAAAAGTAATCTCTTATTAAGGTTGGGGTCCGGGTCGGGGATAAGGAATGAAGTTCTCACTTTGCAATGATCTGATTGTTTAGCTTATATTATTTATATATCAAATTATATTTAAAACATTATTTATATATATATTTTTATTTTAAGTAAATTAATTTTCAAAAAATACTATTAATTAAAAATTTGTAAGGATTCAGGCCACTACAAAGAACCCGCCTTTATTGGAGATTAGGGATGGAAGACAACCTTTATCCCTAACAGAGATCAGGGTCGAGGATTGAAATTTATTTCGAAACTGGGGTTAAGGACAGGGAATATGATCCCCACTTTGAACTTGCCCCATTGCAGGTTGTTTAGACTTCCCCTGAAGATGAAGGAAAAGATACAAATGTGGTGAAACCATTTCCATTGTAGGCTGGCATGGCCAGCTCACTATAGCAACCGAGTCATGCTGCAGCCCATGCCTCTTGTAGGCTAGCAAGGCTTGGTCACTATAGCAACTGGGATGTGCCGTGGCCTAGCCCATATCCTTGGTCGTGCTGGGCTTGGGTTGAGGCCCATAGATTGACATGACACAGTATACATAGCGGCCCAAAATGACTTATACACAGAGATGCATATATGTACATAAATTTTTATTTTCAATTTTATTATACTATTTTGTTCCAATTTTATTATATTTTTTTTTTCAATTTCGTTTCACTATTTCATATATAAACAATTATATATGATGGAGGAAGATTTGGCCCGACCCCTTGACCATGCGACACGTGGAAGCAACCGAGAGTGACCTGGCAGAAGCGCCAGGTCGGCACGACAGTGGGCCCACAACCTGAGCTCTGGGGAAGAGAGTCCCGAGCTCCCCCAAGAAAGGAACCAGCGACCCGAGCTCTCCCTTGGAGGTCCTGAGCCTTACAAGGAGCGCAAAAGACAAAAACCCGAGCTAACCCACCCCGGGGCAGTTCGGGCCACACTTCTATCCGAACTCAAGACTTCACCTCGCACACCACTTCAGCTCCTCCAAGTCGCCTGACTAAACAACCGTACCTGACGCCCTGGAAGCCCGTACACGGAGGCGGCGCGCCTGACTGATTAGAGGTCCGACACATGACAGTCGCCCTCCAGCGGCCACCTTCCACCGCCATCTCAGACGTAGCAGAGACGGCCCTGACAAGGACAGTGGCGGTTATGACACCCGAACTGGCAACTGGCAGAGGCTATGACACCCGAACTGGCGTTTGGCAGAAATGATGACACCCGATCTGGCAGAGGTATGGGAGTGAGTGTACAGGGTGATTATAAAAGGCCCCCATCTCCCAAAGAAGCGGATATGTGATATTTTGTGCTTTCTGGTCTTGAAATCTCTCATTTTCCCTTGCCTTCTCTAGAGCATTGACTTGAGCTTCGGAGTGTTCCAACCGGGTTCCTCCCCGGAAGTCTCCAATTTCTTCCTTGTTTCAGGCATCTTCGGCTCTGTCAAAGGCAAGGTGACCAGCAACTAAGACCGATCGGATTGCGCATCATCATTTAGCGCCGTCTGTGGGAAAACTTCATAAAGCCTCTCCTAACCTTTAACCCTCTCTCTCTCTCTCTCTCTCTCAAAGAAGCCTGAGCTTCCATGGCTTCCTCCAGCAGCAACAGGCACAACGCCGACTTGAATGTTGTAGGGGAACACCC